AAAAAAAAAAAAAAAAATTGCTAACTGTAGATGAGAAGGCAAATAATGTCTTTATCAGTGGGTTTCTGATAGCTGAAAGTTGAGAGAAAGGGCATTCATTTATGCTTGTGCAACAAATACTACTAAAATATGTATATATATAGAAAATTGATTTAAAATCAATCAAATAATACTAAAATATGTATATATAGAAAAAATCAATTTTCTATATATATATACATAGTAGTAGTTGTTGCACAAGCATAAATGTCCTTTTATGCTTGTGCAACAAGAGAAGACATTTTAGAGGAAGTTTTTTTTTTTTTTTTTTAAGAGCAATTTTTATTTTTATTTATTTATTTTTTTTTTAAAGATTAAGTCTCACTCTGTTGCAGTGGTGTGATCTTGGAGTGCAGTGGCATGATCTCAGCTCACTGCAGCCTCTGCCTCCTGGTTTCATGCAATTCTCTTGCCTCAGTCTCCTGAGTAGCTGGGACTGTAGGCACGTGCCACCATGGCTGGCCAATTTTTGTGTTTTTAGTAGAGACGAGGTTTTACTATGTTGTCCAGGCTGGTTTTGAACTCCTGAGCTAAGGCAATCTGTCCTCCTTGGCCTCCCAAAGTGCTGGGATTATAGGCATGAGCAATGACGCCTGGCTGGGCAAAGGCTTTGTGCCTGGAAAGAAAGGTTGATGTTAGTGTCTCTCTTGGATTGCTATAGTTCACTCATGTAAATGTAGATACTGAACTCAGGCAAACTCATTATGTATGTGCTTTGATATATAAACTATTTCTTTAAAATTTATTCATCATACTTAAACCAGATACACCAGCACATGCATGAGGGCTACCTCCTGAGTCATTTTATCTTGAACCTCACTTCCCAATGCAGAATAAATTGCTTCCTCATCAGTGTTCCCATAGTGTTGTATAAAGACCTGACCTCACAGTATTACAGTTCCTAGTTCCTAGTCTCTCACTCATTAGACTGTGAATTCCTCAAAGGCAGAAGCTGTCTTTAAACATCACTGCATCTCTAGCACTTACTACCGTTTTGGCATAGTTGTTTTTAACTGACTCTATAGCTGAGGATGACGACAAGGAAGATGATTTCCAAGCTCCCCTTTGCAAAACAGTGTAATTACATGTCTGGCTAATTTTTCTATTTTTAGTAGAGATGGGGTTTCACCATCTCTATGTTGGCCAGGCTGGACTCAATCTTCTGACCTCAAGTGATCCACCTACCTCGGCCTCCCAAAGTGCTGGGATTACAGGCATGAGCCACTGCGCCCAGCCATGAAAATCTAATGGCTGATGATCTGAGATACAACAGTTTCATCCCGAAACCACCCACCCCAGCCTCCATCTGTGGGTAAACTGTCTCATGAAACTGGTCCCTGCTGCCAAAAAGGTTGGGGACCACAGCACTAAAGAATGGGCATGTCTCTCCCCTGAAGGTACTTACCATTCTAAGATAGAGAACCCTTCCTAAAGGCTGTCTCCTACCAGGCCCCTCCTTTACCAGAACAAGCCCAAAGAAGATAAAAGTTCTGACCAATGGTAAACACTAGACCAAAAAGATAGGTGTACCTGGGTGCTGGAGAACTGCAGAGAACACGGCTGACATTGTTACAGCAGCCATTGGTGAAGGGGTTCACACCTCCCCGGAATTTACCCGTAACCTAGAGGGAGGAAGAAAATACCAGGTCAGAAGATGAGACCTTGACTTCCAAAGGCCAAAATACAAATCTATTACCAATTATTGTGCACTCACTATCGGAGGCATACAGAAATGAGTAAAACACAAGCAGCTTATATATGTGATGGTTAAGAGCAGGGAATCTACAGTCAGGGTCCTTAGTTCAAATCCTAGGTCTACGTCATGGCTGCTGATCCAAAACCTCAGTTTCCTCATGTAAAATGGAATAAGCCGCTTTCCAAATATTGAAAACTAAGATAATATACATAAGAATAAGCAATTAAGGGCCAGGCGTGGTGGCTCACACCTGTCATCCCAGCACTTTTGGGAGGCTGAGGCAGGTGGATCACCTGAGGTCAGGAGTTCGAGACCAACCTGGCCAACACGGCAAAACCCCATCTCTACTAGAAAAAAGAAATACATAAAAATTAGCCGGGTGTGGTTGGCAGGCACCTGCAATCCCAGCTACTTGGATGGCTAAGGCAAGAGAATTGCTTGAAGCCAGGAGGTGGAGGTTGCAGTGAGCTGAGATCGTGCCACTGCGCTCCAGCCTGGGTGACAGAGCAATACTCTGTCTCAAAAAAGAAAAAAAAAAGCAATTAAGGTTAGCTACTATTACATGCACAGAAATCACTGCTTTCCTGTAAGCAGCACTCTAAGTTTCTTGAGGGCTAGCCCAAGTCTTCTGTTGTTTCTATAAACTCAGAGCCTAAATTCTCCAGCACACGGTGGGCATATAGCAAATGCCTGTTAACTAAAAAATGGCCTCAATTCTTACATGGCCTCTATGCTTACATGAGCAACTAAGACTGCCTCACTCCCTACCATTAATCTCTACATAATCATGAGAAGTATTCATTAAGCTTCTATTTGTGAAAGCACTACATTGTACACTAATCAAAAAGCTTAAGAGACATGCCCTGCTCTTCAGGGGTCTCTCATCACTTCTCCCCATACCTGTTCATTGGTTGTGCGTCCCCTGGCCACCAGCACCACGTGAAATCCCGTGAGGCCAGCTACAGGGATGAAGAATAAGCCAGCCACACACATTACTGCCATTCTGATGACAAACAATCAAGGAGAACAGAGCGACATGATCTCACTTTCCCCAGCCCCTATTGCAGCCATTTTCCCTTTGGCCCTCATTCCTCCCCCTTCCAATCCCACAACTTAAAAGGCCTTGAAGGATACGTGACAGCCGTGCGGACCCCTGAGAGTTCCTCTATGTGGTAGAGGACATAAAGGAGGCCAAAGCCAAACACACCCATAATGTGGGCTGTCAGGGAAAGGAGGAAGAGGAAGAAATAACGGTAGTTCCGGCGACCAATACAGTTGTTCACCCACGGGCAGTGATGATCAAATTCCTAGGGACAAAAGAGACAGATGAGAGCCATCCCTGGATTACAGCATTAGATTACTTTGGTCAAGAAGAAAAGCAAATGGCAGCTAAGTTTTGCTTTTAGTAATTTATGATCATGCTCAACAATTAGTTAAAAACTAAATCTAGTTTATTTTGTTCTATAAATCTGCAAGGGAGGCCTTCCAGAGGTTGGTCAAAGGCCAAGGCCAAACCAGGCATAGTGGTACACACTTGTAGTCCCAGCTACTTGGGAGGCTGAGGTTTCAGCCCAGGAATTCAAGGCTCGAGTGAACTATGATGGCTGTGCCTGTTAATAGCCACTGCACTGGGCAACATGGCAAGACCCATCTCTAAAAAAATGAAAAGGTCGGCCGGGTGCAGTGGCTCACTCCTGTAATCCCAGCACTTTGGGAGGCCAAGGTGGGCGGATCACGAGGTAAGGAGTTCAAGACCAGACTGGCCAACATGGTGAAACCCTGTCTCAAAAAAAAAAGAAAAAATGAAAAGGCCAAGGCCGGCTCTCAAAGTGTATCCTATGTGACCAAGGAACTCTAAAAGTGACAAATGTCAGAGGGTTTGCAAAAACATCAAGATTGATGAGAAAAGAGGATTGGAAGGAAGATTTTTGCTTACGGCTATGTGAAAATGGAATGGAAAAAGGACAAGGGATGCAGAAGGACAGGCAGGAAGAGAATTACAACAGACACAACGGCATGATTTTGTGGAAGAGAAAACACAAATCCAGGACAAACAACCAAAAATGAGCCAATGGACAGAGGCTAGAACTATAAATCTTGCTGTCAAGAGAGCCTATGCTCTGCCGGTGCAATGGCTCGTGCCTGTAATCCTAGTACTCTGGGAGGCCAGGGCATGAGGATGACTGGAAGCCAGGAGTTTGAGACCAGCCCAGGCAACACAGTGAGCCCTCATCACTACAAAAAGTAAAAATAAATAAAAAAGAAAGCCTATGCCCACATGGAATTAAAACTTCTCAGGCCGGGCGCGGTGGCTCAAGCCTGTAATCCCAGCACTTTGGGAGGCCGAGGCGGGTGGATCACGAGGTCAAGAGATCGAGACCATCCTGGTCAACATGATGAAACCCCGTCTCTACTAAAAATACAAAAACATTAGCTGGGCATGGTGGCGCGTGCCTGTAATCCCAGCTACTGAGGAGGTTTAGGCAGGAGAATTGCCTGAACCCAGGAGGCGGAGGTTGCGGTGAGCCGAGAT